ACAATTATTTTGGCAAACGTTTTTGTTTGTAGAAAAATAAAATTCATTCATCTACTACAGGGCACACCAGTTGTCATAAATGTTCTATTCTTACACATAGTTGGTTTAAACTACAACTTTATAAATTAACATTTAATAACAATACATTCCCACTCCTTGTATGAGTTTCATGATCTTGGTTGAGGTTCATTCAAATCCCCGTGCATTATTTCACACATTCATTTCCTCACTCCTGAAAGGTTTTTGGGTTGTGATGCATTTGTGATGTTTACTTCAGCATGCCAACACAACTGGTGGCTGTGTAATAAATACCAGAAAAAAGCTGAGTGTATCTAATTTCTTCCTATTAATACACTATACACATTCAGGGTTAGCTTAACATCCACATTAAAATCAGGATAATCCTCAGAACTATTTTAGATTTCAAAAGGCAAAGCAAAGACCCTTATGCAAACAACCTGAAATCACATCATTTTCTCACAGTAACAGTGTTTTCAAATCTACTGTCTTCATGTGGACCTACTCTGTGTCAACAAGCAGAAAATATGACAGGTCTTTGCACTGTTGACAGAGACACCACTCAGGCATGGTTGTAGAAGTGGACATCAGTCTGTTAAGGCAAAGGGGTGACCTCCCATTCAGAACATTAATGGCACCAATAAATCATATTGACGGAAAAACGACAGGATCGTTTAGCTTCCTGTGAGCCCAGCAGACCATAAGAGACAAATAACACTTCCCAGCCTCATCCCCAACCTTTACAGAGCAGGACATTTATCTCTCTCAGCCTCAGTCTCACCACAGCGGAGTACCAAACCCCCCCTTGGAGGATGAATGGCTCGTTCCTGTGCAAACTTCAGGATGACCTCCTCCGGCTCTGTTTTTACAGCCCTGCTGTCACTACTGAGGCTAAAAGATTACAGGCACAGTGAGACACAGGGGAGTGCTGAGCATAAGCCAAACCAGGATCAGTGAAAAATGGCCAGGCTCAAACAGTAGAGAGAACAGTGCACTTCAGGTGGGCTAAAAGAAGGCTACAAATCTGCCAACTAAACAAGTGAATATGATAGTAACTTCTATATCACCTTCTCAAAATGCATCAGTACTCGTTTAGAGCGCCTTCAGCCACCTGTGATTGCCTTGATGTTCCAGCTACTTTTGAAAAGCCCAAATGGTTTGTGGTGCGTCCACCTGTGAGGACATGAGGTTAAAATAAAGTAGCTGTTGTGAGCACCTCTGAGCTTTTCTTGTACCATCTGTCGTAATTTATAGCGCTTATTTCAGTCTCAGAATAGTATCACTTTAAAACATCAGCGTGTCTGCGAAACAACCATTTCAACCCATGGCAGTTTCTTCTCAGTTTTCTTATAGAGTCACTCCTTACTACATTTTTTAACTGAATTCTTTAAAATTGAAAAGTTAAACCTGCATTTATTGAATTTGTTTTGTTGGCCTCTCGTTGGAAATGCAACAGTGACTTGAAAAATATGTTTGCAAGTATTCCTTATTTACACTTCAGCAATAATGGACCAATGTTAGCATTCAACTCCAATACTCTACTTTTAGCTCTGTTTTGGTCTCCACCAACTCGTGAGGGAAACCTCTGGCTGTTTAGCTGCTTGTGCTCCACTATGTTCACCAGCTAGTTGCTATCCAGCTGCCTGTTGTCTGGAAACAACGCTGATGAGAGCGATGAGAGTGAACCAAAAAAGTCATGTTATGTGCTGTAAAACCAAAATAATGAGCTGAAAGGTGCCAAAACCCTCCATAGAGCTGAGAGAAACTACAAAGTTGAGTAATAATTCTCAGTGGATTCGTCACTGTGAGCAACACCTTTTAGATTACACAAAGTCATTTCATCTATTGGTAACAAAAATATTGATCATCAGCTTTATGTACAGCTAATATGGTCATGGACCTACTGTATGTGTTTATATGAATTTAAAAAGCATAGTAGATTCTCTCCAATGAGTTCCATTAATCCATAGCCAGCTGCAAAGGAGGCCTACAGTGGTTACCCAACAACTCTTAACCCCCAAAACCACCACCCGACCCCCACCCCCAATGTTACAGTCCTCAATGGAAGCCTTGTCCAGCACATAGCGCTCTACTGTGAAACAGGTCTGTGTGCTGCCAAGAAATATTGACTTTTAATATATCAAACATTCAGCTCACCCTATTTTAAACAAGCCTGGCTATGTTGATTTTTGAACCCCCGTGCAGTTACTGAGGTTTACCTTTCTACTGGATCAATAAAACTGTGCTAACAGGAGTCTCACACACACACAAGTAGTAAAATGGTGAAGTCAAAGTTTAGTGTGCGGATACTTAATGGCGATTTGCACATGAAAAATCATAAGCATCTAGGTTAAATGGACAGTTTGACATTCTGGGAAACATGCTAATGTGAAAAGTTATGAGCTAAGTATAAGATATCAAATTCACCTTGCTTAGCGTAGGTCCAGGACATGCTTGGTGTAGCTTAACACGAGCTTGGACCAGGGGAAGCTGCTAGTCTGAGCGTTGTCCAAAGTGAAAAAAAAGGTTTATTTACTTGTATAGAAATGTAAAAATGGGTGATTGTGGTTTTATGAGCAGTTAGCCTCTAAGCTATTTCTTGACCAAGAATTTAGTGGTTAGCATCTCACATAGCATCTCAAAACTCCCTGACACTCACTTGTGATTAAAAGGTTGTTGGTTTAAGTCCCTGAACTAGCTGAGAAGCTAATGAGTGCCCTCCTTTCCTCAATCAACTACTATCATGGTCTCATAGGCTAGGTCCTAAACGGCAAAAGCTCAAACGCTGATGTTGGAAGACTGTGGCTTTATACTGAGTTTTCCGAGAAACAAACATAAAAACTTTCCCTGAATAAATAAAGGCTGACACTCTGAATTCTGGGCTGTGTGAGTGGAGAAAACACTAACACCCAGCCGCCTGTCCATCAGCCCCTCAGCACGGAACTTTCTCTCATCATCCATCTTTCTCTCCTTTTCCACTTCAGCCTGACCTCAAGTGAAACTGTGGAGGTCTGTGGGTAACACTGTCAAGCATCCAGTTTAATGATTTAATGCCACTTCCATTTAGGGGGTTATATATTAGCTGTAGTAAGTTCTTGTATGTAGCCAAGTGCGGGCTCTGTTTTCATTCAGTTCTGAGGCAGATTTTAAACGGATGATAAAAAGCGGTGGAAAATTAAAGAAAAAAATAAATCTTCTGTGCAGTCTGTCTTTGAACAAATAAACAAAATGATTTTGATATTTCCTAAATGATTCGTCCTTATTTGTTTATGTGTGGTTGCTGACAACTTTGCAAAGGGTATGACAGACTTTTCCAAATGTTTTCATATGTCTTCAGCCTTTGGTTTCCATTTGTTGTATGGACAATATTATATAAATACACAGATGCCAAGTATGTGTCTTTTATATTATAAATTTTTAATACTGCAACACAAAAAATTTACTACTTTGGTACTAGAATAATAAAATCAATTTCTTTTACATTCCACTAGATGGTGCTGAGATTTTTTCTGGTGAGGTCAGCAGAGGTCACGGTCAGGAACTTACTCTAACAGGCTGATTTAGATGCCGATAGTTTAGTTTGAAGAAGTTAGCCAGCAGTCTTGAGCAGATCAGCAACTCGATGCATTTTAATTGTTGTAAGGCCACAACTGGCACAACATTTTTGCAAAGAAAAGCGGTGCACTTCACACTGCACATCAGATTCTCAAAGGGAAGTGCTTTGAATAACTAATTGTGAAGATATCTGCATCTGCAATGTCCTCTGCACAATGTAAAAGACATCACACAATGAAGTTACTGACAACATTATTGATTATTGAACTCATGTTTGATTCTAAAACTGACGTTTGTAGAGAAGTATTGAGAAGTATAAAGTATTGAATATGTGATTTTTAAGTAAATTTACTAGAACATGCAAAATGGACAATCTGGTCCTTTAATCTAGTTTGTCTGAAATAAATATTTGATCATCTAAAGAGGTACGGAGCTGCGCCCTTGTTGTTGGTCCCACCAATAACAACAATGGAGACAAGAAAGAAGATGATGTCAGTGAGATGTGAGATTGTCAGAACAATAACACCTTTGCCAGGACAGTCCCATAGTCTGCAGAGATGGAAGGATTACAGTTTGCTGCTGGCTGCTAAAGCAGCGCAAAAGAATAATCATAAATGAGTTAAAAGAGGGTTTGTCAACTTTTTGCATATAGTAGCCTGCATTTTAGGTTCCAAAATGAGTCATCCCCTCAAACATATGTTTTGCATTTTAGATTTAATAAATTAATATTACCTAACAAAGTAAGTAAGTAAGAATTTCAAATCCAAGGATTAAATACTTCTTGAATTCATTTTTCCACTTGTTTCACACATTTCAGCTATTTGAAATGTGAAGACAAAATACTGAAGCAAATGCTAACATTATTAACAGTTTAATTAATTTATCTGACATCATGGTAAGCAGGGTACGCCTACATTTTTATGTTGTTGTTATGAATAATGGTAGGCCTAAATCTTCAGTTTAACAAAGGTGCAAGACATTTAAAGTTTACTTTTCCTGTAGGCTATTTCACACAAGCTTCCTCCACATAGCCTTCTAGGCTATATGTGGTGGCCAACAGCAAATGAGGTAACTGTGCAAGCTATGCCGAATTTACCAGAAGACCTTCGGTAATCGGGAGTATTTATTTTTCAATGAAGTAGCCCACAAAAGCATGCGTTACGATTTTTTTTGTTTGTTTTTTCCAGAAATAAATGCTACTGATTAACTGCTGCTTGGTAGATGTGCGCCGAATCGGAGAGTGAACCCTAACGATTGGTTTGTTAAATGTTTTAAGTTCAAATGTGTTTTCCGGAGAGCTCGGCAACAATAAAACCTTAATTTTTGAATGAAGATCGACGTTAATCCTTTAAACGCCGGCGCCAAGCCTACTTTAATAGCTTACTCGTGACAAAAAGTTACCACAACTAAATGAATATCGAGCTTACCTTTCACTTTTGATTCATCGCGGGATTCTTGCTGCTGATTCAAGTCGTCGTCGGGTTTCAGAGACAGAGATGATGCAGGTTCACGGCAGCCCCGCTATCCAGAGCACTGTGAAGGAGGCAGGTTTTCTGCAGATTTAATTCAGACCAGTAGGGGTGCTGTCAAGAGCCAGGGCGGACCAAATGTGTTAAATATCTTAGAACAGGAGAGAGTGTCAGGCAAGGAGCCATTATATTAATAACAGTCAAGGATTTAATGAGTCTGTGTATATGTGATGTTTACAGTTTGCCAAAACTGATTTGACACCAATCTTCAGTAGACATCACTGTTAAATGAATTAAATAGACCCCTTTGAGGCATTAGAAGGCAATTCCTAAGTAGCCTAATTAAACTATAACTTTTTTATTTTTTCAGCTCCAGATGTGCTGTCCAAGCTCTTTTGAAGAAGCACAAATAAACGGGCAACGGTGAGGACCGTAGACACAGTGGTCGGCCAAGTTAACTTGCTGCAGCAGATGAAAGACACATCATGCTTATTTCGCTTCACAATCAATTCTGTCTGGGATTACATGACGACAGAGAAGCAACTGCGGCTGCCTAAATCCACATAAGGATTGTAGGTAGTTCTCTGAGATGTTAGGGCCTGCAGAGTTCTTTCAAAAACTATAGCAAGTGTACCTAGAAAAAGTATTTTGCCAGTTGATAAATATTACGATAAACATGTCTATTTTTGAAAGCATTCTTCTTGCTCATTAAGTGAATTGAGTTAAGTGAGTGAGTTAAGTAAATATATATAGCCTATCTGGCCGACAAATAGGTCTATAAATAATTTCATCGCAGTATGCCGGTTTCATTAAAAATAAAATGCTTTGCAAAAATAATTTTAAAAGATTGGCTGCCATCTACTGGAGCACTGGCAGCCCTGCACCCACCATTGATATGTTTATTATATCATTATTTCAATGAACTGGGCAGCCAGACTTCAAATTTGCCGTGTTAACAGGGTGATTTATGTCATCTTAAGAAGACCTTTTCCTGCTCCCTGGAGGAAAACAACACATTTTTTTTATCTGCTAATCAGACAAAAACCTGTAGTGTTTTAATCAAAGTCTAGGGTGTATAGAATCGGGATATCTTCCTATCAATATCCAGCGACTATTGAATTGTCCCTAGCAACGAATTTGATCAAAACAATTTAATAACCACTGTTGTCTGTCAGCGTCTAGTTCATTTATTTGATACACAACCAGTTTACATCTCTTGTTCTACACTGTGTGTCCAATGCGTTTTTAAGTTTTTAAAGTTTATGTTCTCCCACTCTTATGCCCCACAGTGGTTTGGTACCCTGTCTACCTTTTTCAGACCCTCAACAACTTTATTTCTAAAAATCAACTGGTGTTGTTATTGTCCCCACCAACAATGACATGAAATATCCGGCCTTGAAATGAAGCATGTGGCCAGTAAAATAGGCCTAGGCATAAAGACCCTTGTTTTGCATTTTATCTGTTTCCAAAGAAAATATACAATATTACAGCTAAGGAAAATAATGCAATACTGGGTTTTATTTATTTTATTCATTTATTATTTTATTTTACAGTTCAGAAAAACAAGCGTTTTTTCTTTTTTTGTAGAAAAAATAAAACCTAAAAAATCAGGCTGATATAGTATATTTACATCATGTCACATTTTACATGTAAAATAACACAAATGTAAATTTCAGGATAGATTTAAAATTATGTAGGCTTATTTATCCCCTGAAATTGTAGGCTACATTTTTGGCAGTGTGTAGGGGGCTTTGTAAACAGCATTTTCTGTTTGTGTTGGGATATAAAATGTATAGAAAATATAACTGAACTTAATATATTTATTGTGAACAATCCAAAAAATTTACAAATATTTAATGGGGGTATAGGGACTTGGACACATGACCTCAGTAGACCCTATTTAAAAAATTCTCAGCAGCTATACACATTTAGGTAATGAATTTTTCCTTTAAAGTCATGCAGTGTAGGCTATGTAGTGTAGCATTCCAAGTACCAATACCACAGTGTGAATATACTCAACTACAAGTAAAAGTAGGCTATCCCAGATAAAGTATTTCCATAGAACCCTATTTGTGGTTAAATGAAGGCATACTTAAAGTATTTAAGTAAAATTAGAATACTTGTTCTGTAGAAACATTACTCCTGTGGGGGACAATATAGGCTAGGCTATTTAATAGCAATGCACTTATGTATTTTTTTTCTAGGCCTATTTCATAGGCTCATGCAACTTATTTTTATTCTCATTGTGTGCAGCATGAAGGGAACACAAAGGTTAATTCCTTGTAGGACTAATGATAAATACACTGATGTAGTAGTTTCCCGCGCTTTATTAATTCACTATTAGCCAATAGGAACAACGCATTCACCTTCATGTGTCGGTTCCATCCAATAGGGGCACAGAACACAAGTGAGCCAATGGCCTGCATTTGCCACATGTCTCTGGTCCAATCAACGGCGAGTAGAGATGATAAATTAAGCCAATGGGACGATCGCGGCATTGTGTGACCAAAGCAGGGTCTGCCGGGCTCATTTCGCCGCTTCTCCACCCGGCTGGTCTTTTTGGATCTCACTGCAATGGCGGAACAGCAGCAGTTCTACCTCTTGCTGGGTAACCTGATGAGCCCTGACAACAACGTCAGGAAACAATCAGAGGTAAGAGACGAAGACATAGTTGTTTTCGTGGGTGACAAGTTCGGCGAGGATAGAAATCAGGGCGGTCATGTTAGCAACAGCTAACCGCCCCGCTATCCAGCCTGGCCGCGCGCGCATTGAGCTTTCACGTCAGGCTCTGTAGCCCACGTGCAACGTGAAGCCCAGTACAAGTCAGCTAAGGCTAACTACCTCCACCATGTTGCGTAGTTATGTGGACACAACGTAGATCTTATTGATGATTTCCCAGCATTGACACTGTGAGGTCGTGTGTGTTTATGTCACTCTCAGTCGGTGTGATTCCAAGTGAAATGATCGGTTTGCTGGGCACCAATCCTAAATTCGCCAGCTGACAGTGTGGCTAATGATCACGCTAGTGGAGTACAGGAAGTAGCATGAAGCTAAGGAGCTACTACATTGTTGCTAGTTTCATTAGCTAGCACGCTAACGCTAAACAAAGTGTGTGGCTAAAAGATTAAAGAAAGGCATAACGGAGTTCTGAAATGAGACACCGACGTACATGTCACGTTATACTAGGCGCAGTGACGAGCAGCAAAACAGCAGTGGGTTACAGGTGGCGTTAAGGAGCCAGTTCATGCAGACGGCGAGCCGTGTTAGCTGTACTTGTGCAATGGCCTTCCGTCGTTTTAGGTGAAAGTAAGGTTAACACAGCTGTTTAAAACGTGCCTGTGGTTTGATGAAGCTCAGAAGTATGTCACGTCACTGCACAGGCTCAGGCCACCCCCTCTCGCTGGATTAGTTTCTCTGAGGATTTGTTTGGGCAGTGTCTAGCTGGCCTGTTCACTTTCCCCACCACCACGATTAGCCTCTGTTCGCGGCAAAGCATGGTTGCCTTACCTCTCTTTGCACCCGACTTTTAGATGGATGTGGTGGTTGAATCTTATCACACACGCCTCTCACTGGCAGTCAGCATTTTTCTTTGTAAACCACAGACTGTCTGCCGCGATGCTAAGCTCATCGGAATTCATCCTTTTATAGAAACTCTCCCTTTCTGTTTTACACACACAATAGGAATTGATCTATTTGTAGAGGACTTTAAACCCATATTTCAACAGCAGAACACTACAGCTACACTACATTTTTTTAGGTGTCCAGATCCACGCGAGAGAGATGGCAAGCCATGAAGTACAATATTGTTAGTCTAAAATTTGTCTTAGAGGTGTTGGTGGTTTACTTCTCTTTAGCATTGGGGAGCATTTGCTATAACTAGTGACATGTTTTACTGCTCAGTGTAGTTCTTCAATATGGTCATATACTGGAAAGTATTTGGGCTGTTGGAGTATTGTTATGTGCTACTAGGCATTTAGTAAAAATAACTAACTTGAACGTTTCATGTGAAGCAGATGGTGATACTGAGCCACCGCCCAAGAAATCACATTATTATGAGAAATTGGGTTAAGGCTGGAGTTGCTGATGTGTTTGCGTGCACTGTAATAGTAAAAACTCAGCTTATATGGCCATCCAGTTTATATTTAAATTAGTTTGGTCAATCAGGTTTTACCCCCCACCATCTTGGTACTCCACTTTGTCATGCAAATGTGTGCACATCTACCTCACATCTTCTCTTAATTCTTTCACCTAATAAATAAAGCCAAGATGTTGTTTTACTACTAGCAGCACTTATACATTATCCTGTCTTGTTCCACTGCATCCCCCACAGAGCATCATGTGTTTGCATCTCATGTTGCTTTAATGAAGCATCTTAAGAGACCAAAACAAAACACATGATGTGCATCAAAACAACTGGCCTGGTTTATCTTAAACGTCCCCCTCTGATGTTCGTGTCTCATGGCGTGGGAAAGACATGATTGACGTGGTAAAAGTGTGCCTCGCTACATTTTAACACTGATCCTCTGATGGAAAAGTTTCAAATCTAAATGTGTGGTTTTTATCATAAGGAGTTGAAAATCGGATTCAAACTCGGCTGATCAATCCATATTTAGCAGCTGTTCAAAGTCTTCCAGTGGAAAGTCTTACAATTCATGGATAAGGACAAAGTAACTTAAGATCTGTAATCAGTCATTTTGGGTTTAGTTTTAATCCTACAGTCTCTGCTTAATCAAGAGGTTTATATGATCTGCTTTGCCTTGACTTGCTGTCGAAGCTTAAATGACAGTCATTGCTGAGTTAATATACTGCAAACACCATGAGGCTGGTAAACATTAAAGCTTTCCACTGGAAGATGTTTTGTGACCCAGCTATTAACTCAGCAGTGACATTCATTTCAGTCGTTTTAGCTTCGATGGCAAGTCGAGGCACACCAGATCATAAAAAAATGATCAAGTAAAGTGTAGGAGTAAAACAAAACCTAGAACAATGACTCCCCATTACAGATCTTAAATTACTCTAGCCATGAATTTAAAAGGTTTACTCAATCGTCATATTTAACCCTTAAGTGTTCATGTGTTCCACTTAATAGTTTACCATTGAATCAATGTTCTGACTTGCAGAATGAACAAATTGCAGTACAGGATTTTGATATTTTACAGACAAAACAATACAAATCCAGTTAATAAACATGTTTTTAATGGCCACACCCATGTTGGTACTTGATCCATGAAGCTGAATGAAATTATGAATATTTACCAATCAACGTCTGCATAAGGTTCAGCTTGAAACGTGCCATAGTGTGGGATTACAGGCATGTGCCAAATGTGGCTTCTTTGCGACTGAAACAAAGTCAACATGACCCTTTCTTGGTGAAGACTCATTTTTCACGGGGCTTCTAATGTGGATCTGTAAGCACGCACAAAATGGCTTACCTCATCCATGCCACTGTCCATTCATTCCCTTTGCAGGAGACCTATGACACCATCCCGGGCCAAACCAAGATCACATTCTTGCTGCAGGCCATCAGAGATGCATCTGCTGCAGAGGAGGTTTGTACACTTAATGCTGACACATCTGTGGCACGCCGTGTGAAGTTCCCGAGTCCATGTGAACTTAAAAATCACCAGGGTTTTGAAATCAGTAATTTAACACTGAACTTTATTTGGGACATCTCTGTATATAAGTTAAAACGGATACCTGCCACGTATTATATCTGGCTCTGGTATTGAGCCTTGTCGTACCAGGAAGGACAACATTTTAGGTACTAGAATCAGTATTAGAATGTCATGTGTGGTTTTACATCCTGTCCACATTACTATCAGGAACATGTGTGACATGGATAACATTTTAAGAATGTAGTCTGGCCATCATATGTGGGCCTTCCCTGCAGCCTGACCCGAAGGCTTGTTATGAGTCACAGTTTTGGCATTTGGGCAGTCATGTTTACTCCGAATCCACCAGCTGCTTGGTCCCTCATGCTTCCTCTCCTTTTCTTTACCTCAAGAGTGATATTTTTAGAGTCTTGAAATGGGAGCAGGCAGAGAGGTGCTTGGCCCCAGGAGAGTGACTTTGCCTTTCTGAGATGCTGCAAGCTTTTGTCAGTGTAGTGTGTGTGTATTAGAGGGAGGGAGTCTTAATTAAAATTTAGATTGTAAACTGCCAAAATAATCCAAAGGAAAGCTGTAAAATAAACTGGCTTATAATCGTATTGAAACTGTTTCTCTGCTTGACTAAAGCAGAAATTAACAGTCTTGTGTGAGAACATTAATTTATTTTGTTTAAAATGATGATTTATGTTGGGAGCCATGTTGAGAAGCACGACGTAATGTTGAAACCAGTGATTTGTCCACTCAGGTCAAACAGATGGCGGCGGTGCTGCTGCGGCGGCTGCTGTCGTCGTCCTTTGAGGAGATCTACCCAGGCCTGACCCTGGAGATGCAGACCGCCATCAAGACGGAGCTACTGACCAGCATCCAACAGGAGACCGCACCAACCATCCGCAAGAAGGTCTGCGACATTGCAGCTGAGCTGTGCCGCAACCTCATTGGTAACGCTCCTCTTAATATCATCTGTCATCCTCTGGTTATAGAATTTGTATTGTGAAGAAAAAAAAAATTGTCAAAGGGTGATCATTTCACTTGTTGGGTGCTGTAGGTGTTGGATGATCAATTTTTAGTGATTTATTGATTTAAAATGTTAAAATAAACATTAATAATCTTTTCTTTCACCTAGATGATGATGGGAATAACCAGTGGCCAGAGTTGCTCAAGTTTCTGTTTGACTCTGTCAACTCTGACAATGTTGGCTTGCGAGAAGCTGCCCTGCACATATTCTGGTGAGCCCCCTGTTCACTTCCTCCTTGATTTAGGCCATATAGTTACATGATCTATGAAGTCAAACTACTTGTATGCTCAGACAGAAGTACTGGTGGCTGACAGGTGTGTCCGTCTTGGATAATTTTTTTTTTAGGAACTTCCCAGGAATCTTTGGCAACCAGCAGCAGCATTATATGGAGGTTATCAAGCGCATGCTTGTTCAGTGCATGCAGGACCAGGCAAACCCACATGTAAGCTCTTAGAAGAATTTATTTTTGCCAGGTTACTTCCTGATTTATGACTATAAATTTCTTTGTTTCAAATGATCCTTCAGATTCGTACCCTGGCGGCTCGGGCTGCAGCATCCTTTGTTCTGTCAAACGAAGGAAACACGGCACTACTGAAACACTTTGCTGACCTGTTGCCAGGCATCCTGCAGGTAAGATACAGGATCCCCGTATCTTCATCAGACTCAGATTCTTGTGTTTTTCTGTCTGCCCCCTGTGGAACCTGCGCGACTCCATACATTAGTTATCAATGCTATCTGATGGTTCCCACAAGCTCCAGGAACTTGTAATCCAGAAAGTTTTGTGATGCCCCTATGTAATATTTTGCACGACTAATGTATTTTAAGCAGTTAGTGAAGTATCGTCATGAGTCCCTTGAGATCATTAATCAATGCTAAATGTTTCATGTCCTATAGTCTGCTGTGTAGTCATTAGCTAATGCTAGCTTAGATCATAGATAAGATAGGAAGTTTATGTAACAAGTGACAAGACAGGCTCAAAAAACACAAAACATACACTGAAGACAGTTCAGCCACATTAGTTGTACAGACATGTGCAGAATACAAAAATGTGATATGTTCTATATGTGGTTGTTCAGTATAGTAATGGCCGTGGGAATGAAGGATTTTTTAAAAATGTTTTTCCTTGCAAGTGGGACTCTGTAGCGTCGACCTGATGGCATTAACGGAAAGGATTGGTTGGGTGGGTGGGATCCTGTTAAGGGAGTTTGAGGGAGCCTATTATCTTACTAGCTTGATTTTGTGCTTAACAGTAAGGGCATTATACCAGGCTGTAATATTAAAAGGGAGTATGGATTCAATGATGAGTAGACCGGTTTCCTCAGCAGGTGTAAACGCTGCTGGGCTTTCTTATACAGTTTCTGCATGCTGTGAAAAAGACATGTGTCCATCTCTGTCCCAAGATATTTAAAAACATTGACTTGTTCAACTAGCTGACCATTGATGCTGAGGGGTTGAAACATCTGCTGTGAATTCTTAGTTCCCCTGCTCTGACAGCAGAGCTCCTTGGTTTTTAATCAATGTTAAGGTCCAGGGAAATTTCTTTGAATGTTGTGACCAGATAATTAACTGTTTGGTGGTAATCAGACAAGTGGGCTACCAAGGCCATATCATTAGCATACTTATATACATACCCTGTTACAAGATATATTGTTTGTGTAAACAGAAAAAAATAGCAGGAGATAAAACACATCCTTGGGGGAGCCCAGCGTTTAAAAGCTGTTTCCTAGAATTAAAACCATTCACACACTTGTTGTGGTCTATCCTGTAAAAAATTCTTAATCCATAAAATCAGTATTGGGTGAACCTGAAGCTCGACTAGATGTTGCAAAAGGGTGGGTGGGTGGTGTGTGTAATGTATACAGTGTTTTAAAAGCAGATGAAAAGTCCATAAATAAAAGTGAGTGTGTAATGAGTCCAGCTGTCTGGTCACAGTATCCAAGAGTTGGAGTTGCATCCTCCACTCCACGTTTGGCTTTATAATACAATAAAAGATCCCAGTGAAAATGGCATGTTGGGTTTTGTGTGGGTCTTGTTTATCTCTCCATTGTGTTCAAAACTATAT